CACCTCCAAGCTCGATGTTTCAAAGTCAGATTGCCGAGATAAAACGGCGTCACAATGCATTGTTTCAACCTGGTCTCGGATGCAGCAACCTGGCTACTGCCTCATTGAACCTTAAACCAGACGCCAAGCAAGTCTTTAGACCAAGACGCCCGGTGCCCTACGCAACCCAGTCTCTAGTGGAAGCCGAGTTACATCGACTACAATCTGAAGGGCTAATCGAACGAGTTCACTATTCCGAATGGGCAGCACCTATCTTGGTGGTAAAGGAAGGAAACGGTAAAGTCCGTATTATGCTGATTTCTCGACAGGTTTGAATTCTGTGTTGGAAAATCATCAGTATCCCTAGCCGGTACCAGAAGACCTGTCCAGCAAACTCAAAGGGGGAAATGTTTCGCAAAACTTGACTTAGCTGATGCGTATCTGCAAACCCCAGTTGCCCATCAGTGCAGAACATTTCTGACAGTAAATACCCACCTCTGACTTTTTCAGTACAACAAGTTACCGTACGATGTGAAAACTGAACCGGCCATTTTTCAACAAATAATGTGCGTTGCGGTCGCACTAAGTTTGCCCTGTTACACTTTGTCAAACTGTGCAAACACATTTCGTCTGCTTTTAATCGCACTTAAACACCTGGATATACACCTTACCGTTCTTCTTCCTTGATCTACTTACACTTTGAGTGGTTTCCGGGAAAACTCGTACGCGCGAAAATTCATTATCTGCGAGATCAACAAGGCTACATTTAGCCACATTTTCAAGAGCATTCTGAGGGCTCTCTAAAAAGCACACATTCACCTCAATCGGCTGCTGCGTAAGGAAGATATTGAAGAAAGTTACCACCTTTTATACGGTCACAGCTGAACCGCTAAAACCCGTACGAGGCCAACTTCGCACAAAACACACCCAAGTCACGCGTTTGCCGCAACCCGATCAATAAGGACGCGCAAACCCCGCGCGTGTACTGTGTCCACCTGTGACTCATCGCATTGTCAACATTGGACTGCGCGGCTGAACCCAACACGTGACCTGAAAGCGGTAAGCCAAAACTGCATGTGTTTTGTGTCCACATAGTCAGGGCCCAATCTCCTCAGTGCTTCCATATTCGGTTCCGAATTTGTTATCTCGCATCGCTGCACGCTACTCGGCCTTGTTTCAAACCCGTCTCTTAAGCACGCTTTTCCGTAACCCTGTCATTGATGGGAACTAGTTACTATGACTCCAACAAGATATAATCGCTCGAGACAAGCGAAAGTTAGCGTACCGGCCACTCCGCGAGTAACGCGAGTAAAAAGTAAAGCACAGAGAGGAAAACAAGACACTGCCCCCACAGTTGCCAGCCGCATTGAACAAATGAATGATAAGATTAAATCTCTTGAACTTCAACTAACTGAAAGGAAACAAACGCTTGACTATATCGGACCGCTTAAAGACCATATTGCCTCTTTAAATAATATCTGCAACCCATCAGGAAAACTAGATCCGGCTCAAATGAATAGAGTAAGACAGCTTATCTCCTGTATCGCGTCTAAGGCTCATGAACGAAGCCATAAGTTACAGGTGGCGCAGTTCCATTCTGGATTGCCGCTCGTACTGGAGTACCTGTGTCGACTCTGACCATGCCATGGTGCGCTGTCGTTTCTCCATGAACTTTACCGGAAGGCGCACAAAGCGTCTCCCCCGATTGGCAACGGAGAAATTGTCCCAGCCCTCTGTCAGGCGAGCCCATCAAGAAGCACTGCATAGCGAACTCTCGCTGTCTTGTCCTAATGACCGAACTTCAGTGGAATAGGATCTCGGCCACTATGCACGACGCAGGAGCATCTGTTTGTGGCACTATCAGTCGTCATCGCACCAGTCACTGGATATCCGAGAGGTCGGTGAACCTTATGGAAACACCTCCCGGCTGGCTCTGAACACAATGTGACCAGACGGGCTATTAGGCGTGAACTAAAGCGGAGCCTACGTGCTGACAAGGAAGCCTGGTGGACCAGTCGGGCTCAAGAAATGAAGGAGGCAGGAGCAGTAGGCAATTACCGGAAGCTCTTCCAGCTAATACGCACCACTGGTCCGAGAAAACCAGGCGTAGGTGAGACAAGCAGGGACAGCGCGGGTGCGCTG